TTGGTTTTTTTTTTGTTAATATTAATTGTGTGTTCATGTGTGGGATGAATGCTAGTGTCATTTGTGAAAGAAAAAAAAAAATCACCCATAAGTTATGTGTAAAGTTTGTAATTAAGGTCATTCTTGATACATTAGATCAGAAAAGTATATTTATTAAGCCATAAATTTTGGAACCAATTTATTAATTACAAAGATAGTTTTTTTTTAGTTACTTTCTTTTATATGTCTATGAGATTGACATTGTTTGTTTATGTACACTAATTTTTCCAATTTGAAGATAGTGCAACCTATTGAATTGATTATTGTTTTTATTAATGATAAAATTTATAAAATATGATATCCTCATTATCTAACTTATGATTATAAATACTATATACACATACAGATAACATAAAAAAATTCGTTTGTATAATATTATATGTACACAAGATGGAGTACTATTTTATGACTAATTTGGCCTGATTGATCATCATTAAAATGCATAAGTGCAACCTAGCTATTGAACATATAAAATGTAACGGACTAATCTTCAAATTTCACAATTTATTGGACTGAAAAAATAAACATACATGTCAACTTACTCAACTAAAATAATAAATTTCCACATTGTTTTAATTCGACAAGTGAATTGCGCATGAATTTTCAGTTTTTTGCCTACTTTTTGAGGGAAACTTTTATTCTTTTTAAGTAAACTAATTTTGAATAATGATGCAGAGGTTAAAGACCCGTGTTATTAGAAAGGATATTAATCCTGAATGGAATGAGGACCTCACGCTTTCTGTTTCAGATCCAAGTAAACCAATTTCTCTGGTATGTCTCATCTTTTTTATTATTCAGAATTTTGCCCTTTAGGCCGTCAGAAAAGTTTTTTTTTTTTTTTTTGTTTCAAAATCATATTCCAATTCCTATTTAATTTTGTTGAATGATTGATACATGTATAACTGTGACGTCATCGTGAACGCATATTATTCATTCAATAAAATGAACCATGAATTAGAACTATTTTGGAGCAACAAATCTCATCCCAGGGCAATCATAATTTTTTATTTTTTTTCTTAAGATTCATACTTATAAGTATGCATTTCTTTTTAATAATAATTAGATTGCCTAATATTTGTGAATTAGAATATAATTTCATATGATTTGATTTCAGACAGTGTATGATCACGACACATTCAGCATGGACGACAAGATGGGAGATGCCGAGTTTGATATAAGACCATTCATAGATGCCTTGAAGATGCAGTTAGACGGCCTTCCGAACGGCACAATAATCACAAAAATACTTCCGAGTAGGTCCAATTGTCTGGCTGAAGAGAGTTGCGTGCTTTGGAAAGATGGCAAAGTAATCCAAGACATATGCTTGAGACTAAAGAATGTCGAGTGTGGAGAAGTCGAACTTCAACTCCGGTGGATCGACCTTCCTGGCTCCAAAGGCTTATAGGGGTGACGCAATTGCCCGCCAAAAATATAAACTTAATTCTCTTTTCTCTCCAAAAAAAATTGCATTTTTATTAATGCAGGGTTTTGATTTTATATCTTCCGGCTAGGGATTGTTTTGCAGTTTTTGTCATTGGTTTTCTTGGATATAGATATGCCACATTTTATTGTATGTATATGAATGTATAGGATATTTTGGTTTGATTTTGAATTGAAAGTGCATGGTTTTATGTGATTAATTTCCGTAATTAAACATGTTATGTCATGTGTGTCCATTAAATTGAGAGAGATTTTTATGTTACATTTACGGAGTTGATTGATATGATACATGAGATTCAACTTGGATATATTATTCATCAACACATAGCGTAAGAAGGAGTTTTAATTTATATTTGTGGATTTATTAATTATGAAAAATTTTGTGGTATTTACTTTACCTAAAAAATATAATTAGTTAATGTAGGATGGTATTTAATTTAGGTTATTAAATTTAGTAGTACAAACGACCTCAACCCGGTTTTGACACGCAAATTGCTTCCGAACTGATTGAACCACAATTCACGAACTCGGACTAGCTCGCCGCTCCGATGATCTGCAATACGCTTGGAGGGATCACGATGAAAAAAGTCTCCGACACTGAAGTTTGTCTATGTCAGTGATGAATATTATTGAGAATATTGTATATTTTGCGGGAGTATGTGTGTTGTGTAAAGTAAAGAATATGGATATCCTTTATACTATAGTTGTTTGGTGGCTAAAAGACTCTAGATAGGAAAGAGATCCTCTCTATCCACTTTCTATTTAAAAGCAATATTATTATGGAATCAAATATTATGAAATATCTTTTTCAAAGTAGTATAATTACGAAATCAATTGATTTAACTACGATTGAACCTTTTTAATTCAATCTATATCTCTTTATAGACTTATCAATTCATTTTAATATAATATAAATTTGTCCTAAAAATAAGAGTAAGACTTTACACTAATCACGATATAAATATTAATAATATAATTAAGGCTAAATAAATTTAATTATTTAGACTGTACACTTTATTATATATATATATAAATTTATAATTACCTAACAAATACTCTATGTATTATAACTTATTATTAATTAACGGTCATCGATTATAAATTTTATCTAAACAAATACAGTTGGTGCATCATATTAGTAAATAAATAATAAAAATACCAAATGGTGAAGCTATCTACCAAAACAAGTACTTCACATACCATTCCCCCGACCAAAATTTCCTTTCCCCAAACTTTTCAGAGCCCACGCCCCCAACTCATCATCATTATCAATCTCCCTCTCTCTCACACACCCACACTTCCTTTTACAAGTCCAAACACACCTCAAAACAAACCAAAAAATAACAAAAGCAATCCAAGTATAATTAGAAAATGTCGTCAATTTTTTTTTTCTTAAAAAAAAAAAACCCACTCTTTGCCTTGGGGACTGCAACTGCTAAAAAATATCACACATATTCCCATTTCTTAATATTTAAATTTAAAACACACTATAACTATAGTCTATAGCACTACAAATACACTACACAGTACACACGCATGCCTCTCTCAAACTCCCACATACTGATTTAACTAGTTCCAAAAAAAATAAAAATGATAACATCATCGGATTTCTACCACGTGATGACGGCGGTTGTGCCGCTGTACGTGGCGATGATCCTCGCCTACGGCTCGGTGAAGTGGTGGCGGATCTTCACTCCCGACCAGTGCTCCGGCATCAACCGTTTCGTCGCCCTCTTCGCCGTCCCCCTCCTCTCCTTCCACTTCATCGCCTCCAACGACCCCTACGCCATGAACTTCCGCTTCATCGCCGCCGACACCCTCCAGAAGCTCGCCGTCCTCGCCGCCCTCGCCCTCTGGTCCCGCCTCTCCTCCTCCGGCGGCGGCCTCGACTGGACCATCACCCTCTTCTCCCTCTCCACCCTCCCCAACACCCTCGTCATGGGCATCCCCCTCTTGAAAGGCATGTACGGCGACTTCTCCGGCAGCCTCATGGTCCAAATCGTCGTCCTCCAGTGCATCATCTGGTACACCCTCATGCTCTTCCTCTTCGAGTTCCGCGCCGCCCGCCTCCTCATCTCCGACCAGTTCCCCGCCGCCGCCGCCGCCTCCATCGTCTCCATCCGCGTCGACTCCGACGTCGTCTCCCTCGACGGCCGCCACCCCCTCGAGACCCAGGCCGAGGTCGCCGCCGACGGCCGCCTCCGCGTCACCGTCCGCCGCTCCAGCGCCTCCCGCTCCGACGTCTTCTCGCGCCGCTCCGCCGCGGCGCCGCCGGACGCGCCGCCGCGCGCGTCCGGCCTCACCAACGCCGAGATCTACTCGCTCCAGTCGTCGAGGGGCCCCACCCCCCGCGGCTCGAGCTTCAACCACGCCGACTTCTACTCCATGATGGGCGGCAGGGCCTCCAACTTCGGGCCGGCCGACGGGTCCAGAGGGCCCACTCCACGGCCCTCCAACTTCGAAGACGAGAGGCCGCGGCCCAACTTTCCGGCGACCGCCGCCGGGAACAAAGATCTCCACATGTTTGTTTGGAGCTCCAGCGCGTCCCCTGTCTCTGACGTGTTTGGTGGAGGCCGTGATTATAATAATAATATTAATAATAATAATAATAATCTCAATATGGTTGGTGGTAAAGAGCCTAGAGTTCCTCTTTCTCCCACCAAAGGTATTCGATTTATTATATTACATTATTATTCTCATCAATTCTTATTATTGTTATTCATTGTGGTTTTCTTTTATCGATATGTGAAGTGGAGAGACAGAGGGAGAATCAAGAAGGGTACTTGGAGAGAGATGAATTCAGTTTTACAAACAGAGGTGGCGGTGAAGGGGATAATGAAGGCGGAGAAAAAATGGATGAAAACAAAGCAAAGGTTATGCCTCCGGCGAGTGTGATGACGAGGCTTATTCTAATCATGGTTTGGAGGAAGTTAATTAGAAATCCAAATACTTATTCCAGCTTGATTGGGCTAACATGGTCTCTAGTTTCATTCAGGTACACACACACTTTTGGTTTTTTGGTAATTTTACGAATTAGTGTTTCATGTTTATTACAATACTAATATTTGTTATTATCTTTTTGTTTAGATGGCACGTTGAGATGCCTGCAATAATAGCAAAGTCCATATCTATACTGTCAGATGCAGGCCTTGGCATGGCCATGTTCAGTCTTGGTGAGTAATCATATGACACAAGTCTTTCATTTTTTTTTTTTCTTGCAATTGTTAGCTATATCTTGTGTGTGTTGATTGATTGATGTATGTTACTTAAATTTAATTATTCAAGATTTGGTTTAATGAAAGAAAAAAATATAAAAACCAGATAAAGCAAAGCATGCCAAAAGGCAAAGTTGTGCTCATGATGGCATGTCTCCCTTTTTTTATTGCCCCCTTTCCTTTTCCCATAACCTGTAAATTTCTTCATCACGGGATTTTAGCCGTCAGATCAACATATTCGTGCATTGTGTGTATGATCTAATGGCTAAAACTTTAAGATACCAAATTAGCTGTTTTTCATGGTCAAAAATTCAATTCAAACTCCATGCTCGAACCCCACTTGATCATTCTTTTTATTTGTTTTTTCTTTTTTTGGAAATATGAATTATATTTATGGAATAATATCATTAATATGGATTGTTATCATCATCATCAGGTTTGTTCATGGCTTTGCAACCGAGGATAATAGCATGTGGGAATTCTGTGGCAGCTTTTGCAATGGCTGTGAGATTCCTTACAGGGCCAGCTGTCATGGCTGCTGCTTCCATTGCTGTTGGCCTTCGTGGTGTTCTCTTGCGCGTTGCAATTGTTCAGGTTTTCATTCTTTTAAACAATTACAATCAATCACTTTTCTTACATCACAAATCTTGCTGTTTTTAATTTGCAATCACACTATGGAAGTTTTGCCTTTTGCACTTTAAGTACCTTTATCACAACTTTAGATTTTATATACTTTTGTCGTCCAAACGAATCTTGCACGTTGAAGTTTTCAAATCTAGGGGATATATTGCAAAATAATAGAAGTTTGGGGAATAAAGTGCAAGAAACAAGAATACAACAATTCATTAATACAAGGTCTTTATGTGACAATGTTTACAAAATTTCATGTGCCAGCCTCAAAGATGGTCAATATTTTTAATTTAAGATTTTGAAATAGTTAAATGTAAATAAAAAATAATGTTATCATAATACACAATT